TATATATATATGTAACAGGTGCACGTAAGAGGCAAGGGAAAATTGGTCACGCGAGCAATCAGCCGACCCTTGCCCGCTGCAGCAAAGTAGACCGACGACGACCACACGCGATTCAATTCTAATCCCATCGCGCCTGTCGCATAGATTACTTCCGGGTGCTCTGTAATTATACCAAGCGCGAGCCCAAACAGTCTCAATTTTCAAGACGCCGCTGTTGTGCCATTACCGTTTTACGTATGGTTTTTTTGCGCAAAAGCGGGGAGTCAATTCTCACCGCAGGTGACACTAACGCGGATTCATGTACGCATATATGCACAATCAATATGATGCACGTTTTGATAAGGATGACGGTGTTAGGATGCCTATCATAAGAAGATTATATTATACTTTGGGACAACAAAGTGTTGACTTGATTTGCCCTCCCTCTGCCGATAACTATATACATTTCAGACGAATATGGATCAGTACAGGTAAATCACATAATCACAAGTGCAAATTCAAATATTACCTAATATGCAATAAAAGTAACAAATGGATTAATCAATGATGACGATTTGTTTTTATGTAATTATAATTATGTCGAATTTAATGTTGCAGCTGTGCGAGGGAGGCCCTATTATCGATCTGGTCAGAGGCTTAACAAACAGCGCCAAGCGAATGCGGGAGGAGCACATTGCCTATATACTGAGGGAAACCATCAAGGTACATACCAGTTTATTTTACATTTATCAGCACGTGCAATTGACAGACTCAGCCATCTGTAATATGGGTTGTAATTTTTTTTTTTCTTTTTTTTCTTTTTTCTTTTTTTGTTGGGTAATGTAGGTCAGATGGATGACAAGCGCTTTTCCTAGATGTTATCTCGGTCGTTGTTTTGAAACGTGTTTTCTAATTTTTTAATTTGATTAGTCTAATCTCGTTACGGGCGTCAAAGAAGGGGCTTGGCTCAACGGAGTAAATCAATTATAACATATGCTCCCTTCATTCGTGTGTCGAAATAACGAAATGTTTACATACATCGTCAAACGTAATTATCAGATTTTCATTCGAGCACTAAGAGATGTGTGTGTGTGTGTGTATACGTATGTATGGACCGATGAGAAATAATAATTAAAAAACCACACTCATGGATTTGAGAGTACCTGCACGCAAGCTTGACAAGTGGGGGTATGGTATGAGCTGCTCGGGTCCGCTAATTAACTTTCTCCTCTCGAAAGCCATCACCATCAGCGCCTCGTCAGACCACGATCTCGTGATAAATAACAATATGTTCACGTACTAATTTTCAGAGTTGCACACTCGACGGAGGAATAAAAATATACCTATACGTGTAAATAAGTACACGGAAGCGCACGAGAGCCTCGACTCGTTTGTAAAAGGTTTCTTATTGCGGTTAAAGAGGTGAAAAGTTGGACGCTATCGTATCCGCGTACCTACAGCTCCGAGTGCACGTATAAACAAATACATACATTGCGTACTTATATGCAGGCACGCGGGCTTACGTGACGAGTGTACATATACTTCGTTGTTGGCTGCTATATGTATACATACACCCACACATGTACACCTAATACTTTTGATGCTTCATTCGAGGTTACACTATACCTCGAGTTTTTTCAAGCACTCGATACTTATATACATATATATGTACATATTGTTAGGTATATGCTGCTACTTGTGCTTATAACGCGTAGCACATTATTTAATCGGCCAAAGAAAAATGAGGAAAACTAGAGGTTGTTGGTGCGAAAAGGGTCCTTAACGGGAGAAGAGCGAAATTTATTCGCATATACCCGAAAATGGAGAAATACCGCACCCAATACCAATAAAAAAATATAAAACAAGCGCATACTTATGCAAAGGTATAAGTAGTAAGTACCAAGGGCGGTATGCGTATATATATATACACACGTAATGGAGCGGCATTCTTTCCGTTCCTCGTATCGCGATGATGTATTTACGGGCCGGTCGGTGTACGCACAAGTAGGTATACCCGAGCCTTTGTCACTAAATCATCGGGCCGGCCTCCTTCTCGTAACCTCCCTATTTCTTTCTCCAAATGAGACCCGGCCGGGCGCGGATACCGAGAACCACCTACACCCGCGCGAAGGATGAACACCCACCCCGTGCGCGTATAACCGGGTGCTCCGTAGGTTGGAAAAAAATTTCGACGCGATTTTGAAGCCATCGAGAGAGCGGCCGGGCAATAAAATAGGAAGCGCTAGTTAGGTATAATGTTACTTACGCGCGTCAAACCGAATATTGTAGATCGTTCAATTTGCAGTAAATCCCCGCGAAAGTGATTTCGCTCCTGCCCCGAGAATTCCTCGAAGCAGCGGCTTCGGATACGTGTATACAACCATATACACTATACACCACACGCAGTTATTTCTCTGCACGAGAGCGCAACGAATCGGGGATGGGCTTGACCTACCTGGGTATAAGTAACAAACTGACGAGTAGGGGCTTATACTTATCCGTGAGAAAGATTTTTTTAACGAAACACGTCGGGCTTGATCGCATGAAGCCTACAACTAATATTGCTAACGCGATCACAACATATTGTATAAGCTAATTGTTCAAAACGGTGTATGTGTAAAAATCTCGAGTTTCGAGTTAAATCGGCCGGATCAAGCACGCAAAGTCTTAGAGTTTTCAAATCCTTGGATTGGACAGGCGGTGATGCATCTCCACGAGAATAACGTTCTCCACCGGGACATCCGAGCGAGCAACATAATGCTGACGAAGGAGGGCGAGATAAAGCTCGTGGATTTCGGGCTGTGCCGGATGATAAAGGGCGAGATGGGCAGGCGCTTCACGTGCATCGGCTCGCCGAACTGGATGGCCCCGGAGGTGGTCACGAGCAAGGAGCCCGGGCCTGGCTACGGCACTCGCTGCGACACCTGGGCCATCGGGATCACGGCCATCGAGCTCGGGGACGGCGACCCGCCTTTCGGCGACATGCACCCCACCAGGGCTCTCTTTCAGATCGTGAGGAATCCACCGCCCACCCTCTACAGGCCCTCCAACTGGTCCCAAAACTTTTGCGACTTTATCGCAGAGTTGGTTTACCTTACATTTTGCTTTTTTTCTATTTTTTCTTTTGCCCATTGCGCGTTTTTTCACTGCCCAGATGCTTGGAGAAGAACCCCGATAACCGGCCCTTCGTAGCCGAGATCGTCGAGCACCCCTTTTTGTCCGAGCTCCCGGAGAACGACTACCCGGTAAGCCCCATACACGTACCTACATGAAATCTGTTTTCTAATACCAATCGTATAACGTATACGTGAGATTTATCGCGAGTACAGCTGACGCAAGAGATAAAGGCCCTGGCGATGAACATGAGCGCAAAGGGTAAACGCGACCGCAGGCCCGAGAGCATAGTGCGCAAGGGTTACCTAAAGACCCATCAGACCTACGTGCCCGAGCGCATGCACCAGGAGGACTTGGCCGCCCTCGAACAGTTAACGGAGGATCGGGTGTTGGACGAGCTCAACGAGAGGCTGCGCATGGGCCACTTTCACACCTTCGTCGGCGACGTCCTGCTCATACTCAACCCCAACGAGGAGCAGGACATTTACGGGATGCAGGTGAGACTTTTACGGGGGTCACGTTAAAAACAACAACAACTTGGACATTTGTATAAACATATCATCTATCGGTGTTTATTGTCATATACTTTTGCAGTACCACACCAAGTACCAGAACAAGTCGCGCTCGGACAACGCGCCCCACATATACTCGGTCGCCGACAGTGCCTACCAGGACGTACTCCATCACGAGGAGCCCCAGCACATTTTGTTCACCGGCGAGAGTAACTCTGGCAAGACAACCAACATGATGCACCTTATTGAGCACCTCATGTACCTCGGCAAGGTACCGTATTGTGTTGGGTCATAACATTGTGTATTGAAATGTACCTATACGAGGGATGGCTTTTTTTTTTTTTTTTTTTTTCCAGAGTCTAAAAGATACCGGGGCAAGAGTGATGAAGGCCATCAAGCTGATCCACGCGTTCACGAATGCCGCGACTCCCCTGAACACAAATGCGACCAGGTGCGTCTTTCAAGTACAGACGACTTACGGGTCGACGGGAAAAGCGTCCGGGGCCATATTCTGGGTATACCAGCTGGAAAAGTTTCGGGTTTCCACCAGAGACAGGTAAAAAGCAAGAAGAAAAGGAAGGAATTAAAGAGCCGCATGAAATACGCAAAACAAACACGGTTGTAGGAACCAGTCCAACTTCCACATCTTTTATTACTTCTACGACGGACTGGAGGCGGCGGGCAACCTCCGCCAGTATTTGCTCCCGCAGGGCCGGCGTATGCGCTACCTCAGGGTGTACGACTCGGACTCGATGTCGGGTCGCAAGCGGTCGTTCAAGGTGCGCAACGATCCGCACGGCAACTCGAAAAAATTCGAGCAGATCAAGGAGTGCCTGCGCCTGCTCGAGATGGAGGAGCACTGCGAGACCCTCTGCTACGTCCTGGCGGCCATCCTCAACCTCGGGGACGTGCGTTTCATCGAGAACAACACGGGCGAGGCCGAGGTCCACAACATTGAGACAGCCAAGTCAGTGGCCGAGCTGCTCAACGTCGACGTGAAAAAGTTCACCTGGTCGCTTTGCAATTACTGCGTCATTAAAAAAGGAGCGGCCGTCCGCCGCAGACTCACTTGCGACGAGGCCAAGGAAGCCCGCGACGTGCTCGCTAACACGATTTACCAAAGATTAGTCGACTGGCTCGTCAATAACATCAACCAGAAGCTCAGCGTCTCGCGCACCCTTTTGTACGTTTTCGTCCAACTATCAGCATCTCTCGAACTTTTTCCTTGTTTTTTTCTTCCCCCCCCCCCCCCCTGTATCGTTTTCACGTAATCTTCTTAAGGTTTCGGTGCTCTTGAGCCGGAATCAACTCGTTTGAGCATTACAATGTAACATTTCAGCGGTGACAAATTCCTCATCAGTATTTTGGATCTGTTTGGGTTCGAGTGCTTCTCCAAGAACCGACTAGAGCAGCTCGTTATCAACACAATGAACGAACAACTGCAGTGCCACTACAATCACCGCGTTTTCGTCTGGGAGATGGTAAATAGCTCGACACGTATATACATTTTTTTTTTTTCTTTTCATCCATAAGAACAAAAACGTACATTCCTTCAATAAATACTCAACAGAGAAAAGAATAGCACATATAGGTGCATTTGTAATAAAAAAAGAAAAGTAATGAGATAATATGTGAATGACAAATGTCGCAATTTCACGATAACCATTAAAATAAATAAGTACAGTAGAGATGAATACACGATAACCCCTTGGCCCACAGCAAGAGCAGGAGGAGGAGGAAATACCCGTGGAGAAGTTTCACTTTTACGACAACAAGCAGGCCATAGACCAGCTGATGAGCAAAGATTACGGGTTATTTTACGCTCTCGACGAGGCCTCGCGGCAGCTCCAGGGCACGTCGTACATCTTCGAGCGTATAGGCGGCCACAACAACAACCGCCGGGGCGGCAAGGCCAACACCCACGTCAAGATCCAGAGCCAACACGAGTTCACGGTAGCGCACTACACGGGCAAGATACAGTACGACGCGAGCGAGATAGCCGAGAGAAACCGAGATTACGTGCCGCCCGAGATGATCGAGACACTGAGACAATCCAGCCACGGCGTCGTCAAGGAGCTGTTCACCAACAAACTGACCAAAGCCGGAGCTCTCACCATCCACGTCGACGAGAGCATGAAGACCGACAAGCAGCAACAGCAGAAGAAAACGGCGCGCAGCAAGTGGGGCGCCGCTCTCCTACAATCGGACCAGATCACCAATCTCCGGGTACCCCATCCATCCTACAATACAGCGTATACCTGCGGGGCTAAGCTCCCGATACTCTCGGATAAGCCGAAACAACCGACTGTTAACTGTTTCTAGAAATACAACACGGCTTCCCGAGGCCAGTATTCCCAGTCGCGCAAAGTGCGCACCTTCGCGGCTACCTTCCGCGCGGCGAGCCTCGAGATCCTTAAGAGCTTGGCGGTCGGCGCAATCAGCGGGGGTACCCACTTTGTCAGGTGTATCAGAGCCGACTTGGAGGGCACTCCACGGGGCTTCTACAGGGAAGTGGTCAAGCAGCAGATCAGGGCTCTCGCAGTCGTCGATACGGCCAGGGCACGCCAGAGGGGCTACCCCTTCCGCATATCCTTCCAGGAGTTCTTGAAGAGGTAAGGTTTCCTTCGAAGAATCAAGTTAAAAAAAAAAAAACAACCCATGACGATGACTGGTAGATACAAGTTCCTGGCCTTCGACTTTGACGAGAACGTCGAGATGAACCAGGACAATTGCCGGCTGCTGCTGGTCAGACTGAAGATGGAGGGCTGGGTGATCGGCAGGAGCAAAGTTTTTCTCAAGTACTACAACGAGGAGTACATGTCCCGGTTGTACGAGACACAGGTGAAAAAGATTGTAAAGGTGCAGTGCATGCTCCGGGCCTTCCTTGCCCGCAAAACAGTCGCCTCCAAGGCTCCCAAGAGCAAATACACGGCGCGCCGACCAATGGAGCCTGGTAGGTAGTCAGGGCGTTACTTTGCTGGATCGCGCATTGCGCGGGTGGCTTTTTCTCTTTGGATGGTTTTTTTCGTCCCGAAGTTAACGGGAACTGTTTCAGCGAAGAAAGCACCAGAAACGTCGCGACGAGAAGAACCAACGACGGATATGGCCGCGACGACGACTACGAGAGACGGTCCGAGTCGAGACATGTCTCAAGACGAAGCAGCTTTGGTTCTGCAAAAAGGTGAGTATAAAGGGGGCATGTCCACGCGAGTTGGAGGAAAAAAAATTGACCAAATTCACCGTGGAAATTTCGTCGTTGCGCAGCTTACCGAGGTCACCAAGTGCGAAAGGAAGTAGGTCCCCTTCTGAGCAAAGATCTGAACTTGGATCCAGACACAATGGATATGATGAGGTACTTCGGCAGCAAGTGGAGATCGAAGAGTATATTCCAAGTCCTCCTACAATACCGTGCAGCCCGCTATCAAGACCTCGTGCACTTTTGTCAACAAGTGAGTGCGTGATTGGGGGGAAAATGAAAGAGAGAGAGAAAAAAAAAAAAAAAAAAAAGCTAAAACGATAACTATACTATAATCTCGTCGTCGCCGTCATTGTTGTTGTTGTTTTTACCAACAGGTGCATCTTTACAATCAATCAGTAGTGGGGGCTCTGCAGATGAGTAACGAGCGCGTGCCCCTCGAGAGGATCGACCCATGCGACAACCCTGATGCCTTCCTCGGCCCGGTTCGGCCGCCGAACGTTCACAAGCTTCCATTCGACATGCACCATGAAATGCCATTCTACGATACCTCTCACATGAACGACCCGACCAGGGCACGAAAACGAAGACAAGGGTGAGTTTCAGACCAAATCGCCCGAACAATTCAATTCGATGGCTCGGGAAAATTACCCAAAACCCCCATCGAGTGTGGGAATAAAACTTTTTCCCTAGCCGTCGATGATCTGCAACTTTTATTGGCTTCTAGTGAATGGTCTCGTTTGCCGAATTAAATCATTAACAAAAGTAGGATCGACTTTACCTAAACTGTCATTGCAACTTGAAAAAGCTCGAATGCGATCGAGCGACGAGGTTGCTCATTTCCAAATCGATAATCATCATTGATGAAAACTCTTTTTTTTTTCTTTTTTTTTTATCCTTTTGTCCTTTTTTTTTTATCCTTTCATTTTCTCGCGGATAAATGAAATGAAAGAGAAATTATTGTACATTAAAAAATAAAGAAAGAACAGTGCAAAGGTAAGTCGGTCGAAGGAAGCCAAGAGGATTGTTATTGGTATCATTCTAAAAACGCGTTCTGCAGATCTGTAACGTCCTCGATGTCGGACGACGAGGATGAGAATTGGGACGACCCGCTGCGCAGACAAACCAAGTGGGGCCAGATCCGGCGGAACAAGAGAGGTGCTTACTTGTCTCGATCGTCATGATCACCATCACCACCACCACCATCACCATCATCATAATCATCAGCGATGCGAGATGGATTCTAGAGTGCTTCTTGTGGACTCTGTTGTCGTATATACTCGTACACCCACGCACGCACATATTATTGTTGTTATGCACACGACTCGGCATAGTTTTTTGTTTTCCGTTATCGCACAGAGTTTTAGGAGTACACAAGTATACTTCTTTCTTATCTTTCTACACTGCCTTTACTTCAACTTGTTGCTCTTGTACATATACATATACATATTATTATTATTATTATTATTATTATTATTATTAGCTTTCTCTTTATCTCTATTAGTAATTGAGCGTCCATGCCAAATTGTACTACATATTATTATGATTTGATTTATTTTTGCAACAAAAACAATTTGGCCTTGGTAATCAATAATTATTATTACCAAGACTTAAAATGTAACATCCCAGTAATAAATACACGTAATTGCTCTTTTGACAAGGTAAATAATGAATAAAACAGCAGTAAAAAAGATAAGACAAGCTCTCTCTCGCTCTCCCTACCTCTCTCAAATACATAGCACACAATCTCATTGGTTTCTTTTTTGCTCACGTTTCTCTCTCCCCTCTCAACTCTCAACGCTCCCAAGTAAACTGACTCGCACCAACTTTGATCTTTTTTCCAACTACAAGTAATTTGAGCACTGAATTCTTGAAAATAAAATAATAATCAGATATAAGGTAGAAAATGCGCAATACGGGCATCACAGTGGGGTAGGGGAGAGGGAGAGTCTCTTTTTCCAGAGTCTGACTATTTCATTTCAGATGTACAATGCCAAACGACCAACTCCCCCCATCGCGAAATAACCGCCGCGAGCAGCGTGGGTCAGAGTCTTATCAACACTCCATTTTCCAGGGACCCCAGTGTCCCAGTCCGCTGCCCACCAGCAGAAGTCCAAGCCCAGTCGAAAGCCACCTCCGGTTTCCAGCCGCCTATCGATAGCCGTAGCCCCGTGCGACCGATCAAAGCTCATAATCCTCGCGCAGTGAGTTTATTTTATTTATTTTTTTCATTTCTTCTGCTTAATAATTTCCCTATCGATGGATTGATGTATATATACAATTGTATTATTTTACAGAACGACTATGATCATACCGGGTCCATCCGCTCTAGGAAGAAAGTGCCAGCACCCCCGATTCCTAATCAAATGCAAACAAATCAATCGAGAAATTTCACTAGTTACAACAACGAGGCTCGCAATAATACACGTACAAATGACTGGGCAGCTGAGGATAGAATGAACAGAAATACTTTTAAAAACGATCGGTAATGTTGTAAAACCAATAAAAATTTGGTTTGTTTTGGTTCATCATCATATTTATTGGCTTTTCTTATCACTCCTCCTCAGCATCAATCCGATTCAAGAGCTACAAATGTTGGGACGCAAAAACAATAACAACGACGACGACGGCGGCGGCAACACCGGGGACAATCCACCGTTCAACTTCCAGGTAAGTAATTAATTATCAAAACAATATTTGCTAAACTGCAGGTGAAAATAACAAAAACCACGTATTACCTGTACTTATACAGGCTATGCTTCGTAAAACGTCGCACCATCGCGACTCGATGAAGCGCACGCCGGTGTACGAGAGCTCATCGTACGGGCCCACCCAGACGTTCAACTACGCGAATCGCACCGTCGAGTCAAACGTCGTTTATCGAGGTGGGGGTATTGGTGGAGGTAGGGGAGCACGAGCAGAGTCCCCCGAGTGGAGTCCGAACGAAATGGTACGGATGTCGGAGAAGTACGGCCGGCAGGACTCCTGGGGCAAAGTTGCCGCCAGCGAGGGCAAGAGCAGAAGCGCCTTCGACGTCGGCGATATCAGCGAGAGCATAACCACAGAGCTCGCACCCGGCATCGTCGTCGAGGGCTACGTGGCTGATCTCTAAACCCATATATAGCGCCAATGCGCCGGAGCTGGATAATAATTATATAATGTATACCATCACGAGGAGAACATGAATAATAATATTATTTATACGCTCAGTCACTTTTGCAATCATTGCATACACGTTGTACACTACACATACACGAACACGCATCCGTAACTTCGTTCAACCGAGATTGTATTTAAGTTATATTATTTATCCAGTCGTTCGTTCAATCAGTTCAATTCGATTCCCCTTTAATCAAAATACTTGAGTTGCAACTTATAAAGTTGTAAGTTTACAGGCTCCCTTTCCCACTTACTTAGAGATTTTATCGGAAAATGTTTCAGTTTCATTAAACAATAATTTTGTAATTTTACCTCCAGAAATTAACATTAAACAAAATGTTTATTCACCAATATTTAATTCAACTTTATAAAATGTAAGGTTTCACTGTAGGATTAGGAAATTCTAATTGAACTTTTGAGGATGACTATAATAAAAAGTTATTAACATTCGACTGTTTTTTTCATCCCCCCCCCCACACCTGAACCATCAAGAAAAAGTTTCAATCGAAAAATTACTAGTATAGATATTAATTTATTGATTCATGTATTTACAAACACTCTTTTAGAATGTTATAACAACTTCAAAATCTAAATGAGCAATATATTTACAAAATCTGTCATGTATAAAATAGGCAGATATTTTAAAATTGTGTCTTTATAGAGGGAGCGGGGGGAAGGGGTGTTGTTTCAATGTCGAGCGATAGCACGGCACTTGTTGCCAAACTTTGGCAACGGTGAGAACATACAAATTAATAGAATTAAACTAAAATATATTCTCACTTGAATTAGTTTTTCTTTTTCTGAATTATTCCAAGAGACTCCTGATATCTTGTAATCAGCTGCTCCTGAACATCAGCTGTAGTCGGGCTGTATCGAGAATACTCCATTGTGAATTCTCCTTTTCCTTGTGTAGAAGAGCGTAATTCGCCAGAGTATCCAAACATCTCGTTCAGTGGCACTTCGGCATATATCGTGAACCATCCGTCGTTACTGTCTATGCTCACTATGATTCCCTTTCGCCGGTTTAATTGACCCATTACTGAACCCTGTTGCATTAATAAATTTTAAGTAAAAAATACACACACGCTTTTATAATTGAACAGTGTTAATTGAATAAACAAAATCACCTGAAACTCTTCAGGACCTGTAATTTCAACAAGCATAATGGGCTCCAAAACTTGCCATGTGCCATTTTCAAAACAATCTCTGAGAGCCCCTTGAGCAGCACATTCAAAAGCGAACTCGGACGAATCTACTATGTGATTGGCACCATCGATCAATCTGAACTTTACTCCGGCTACTTTATGACCTGACAAAAGACCTTTCTCACACATGGTCAAGAAGCCTTTTTGTATGCCTGGAACAAATTGTTTCGGTACGTTCGTTCCTACCGTTTCATCCGAGAATTCAATGTTAATATTTTTGTGAGCAGGCAAAGGCTGTAAATAAATTTGTTTTATCATTCGCTATTACCAAAAATTATATTTTGAGCTTGGTATTTTTCATCAAAGAACTTACCTCCAAAACACCTATGACTCGAGCATATTGACCCGCACCTCCCGATTGTCTTTTGTGAAGGTAATCAAACTGGATTGGAGAAACCAAAGTTTCTCTAAAAGCGACTTTTGGTTTTCCAAGTAGTACTGGACAGTTGTATTCACGTTCCATGCGTTGAGCATATATTTCCAAGTGTAATTCACCCATACCAGACACTATTGTTTCCTAAAAATAAAATAAAACTGTGTGAGAAAAAAAAAGTTTACCATTGTATACTTGACGACGAAAAAGGTTAAATCTTGGTATTTACTTTGTTTTCGTTATCCCACACGTAACGGTATGTCGGATCTTCTTTTGTAAATCTAGCAATTGCTTTTGAAAAGTTTTCTCGATCCTTCGTATTTTTGGGAGCTATGGACATGGAAACCACCGGCTCCGGCACATATATCGATTCCATAGAAAGCGACGAATTTTTTTCCGTCACAAAAGTATCACCAGACGCACAATCAACTCCGAATAATGCAAATATATCGCCTGCATAGATTTCATTGACATCTTCCATTGTATTTGAGTGAAGTCGAACTAGTCGCGCAACTCTTACCTGAAAAAATTTTAATTTTTTCACTTTACATCATAAAAACGTTCATGGCGTTTTAAATACTTACCTTCCTTGCTGTCCTTGTATTGTGAATGGTATCTGTCTTTTTTAACATACCTTGATAGCATCTAAAATATGTCAGCTGTCCAAATTTTCCAGCTTCTAATTTAAATGCGAGACCTACAAAGGGATGTTTGCTAGAACGTTCAGGATTCAGCAAAATCTTCTCCGATTCACCTCTGAGCAAATTAATAACATAATCATCAATTATCATTGGTTAATTTAAAGTTTTATAACGACGTGTGTAATTCTTTACTCTTTTTTTTGCAAAAATGCCAAATTTTCAACCTCTCCAGGATTAGGTAGGTAATCTAAAACTGCATCAAGCAGAGGTTGCACTCCTTTATTCTTTAAAGCTGTTCCCAGTAAAACAGGAGTAAAAGTTCTTTTTAAACACGTCCTCCTAATAGCATCTTTTATATCCTTTTCGCTAATGTTAGATTCGGTTAAAAATGCTTCCCCAAGTGCATCATCTACATTACTTAAATGCTCTATCAGCTCCTGTCTTCTAGCTTCCACATCTACAAATAAAATGTTGTTATAACAACAACAACAACAACAACAATAACAACAACAACAACAACAACAACAATTATAATAATAAGTATAATAGACACAAGATGAGATGATTTAATGATCATACCTGATTTCATATTTTGCGGTACTTCATCTTTTCTAATGACTTCGCCAAAGTTACCTTCAAAATACAATGCCTTTCTGTGAATCAAATCAACAACACCTTTACATTCACTTTCCAAGCCAATAGGTAATTGAAGAAAGGCTGTATTATGTTTTAATTTGTTTCTCAATTGTTCCAAAACTCTTGTTGGACTAGATCCCATCCTATCTAACTTGTTGATAAATGCTAGGCAAGGGACATTATATCTTTTCATTTGTCTGTTTACAGTCATTGTTTGTGACTGCACACCACCAACAGCACAAAGTACTAATATTGCACCATCCAAAACACGCAGAGATCTTTCTACTTCCACTGTAAAATCTACATGTCCTGGGGTATCGATAATATTGATGTTATAGTTTTTCCAAAGGGTATACGTCGCTGCAGACTGAATGGTTATACCACGTTGTCTTTCCAACTCCATGCTATCCATCACAGCTCCAACATTATCTTTGCCTCTTACCTAAATGAATACCCATAAAAATATTAACTTACGTATTAGTAATTTTACTTTTACAATGTTGATTGAAACGAGGAAATTAATTAATTAAATAATTACCTCGTGCATCTCTGAGATTCGCCCAGTGTAAAAGAGAATCCTCTCTGTCAAAGTCGTTTTACCAGAGTCAATGTGAGCTGATATGCCTATGTTCCTCACTTTATCAATGGGTTTGTGCTCAGCGTATTTTTCGTAAGATGCCATGCACCTTACTTTTACCTTAAAAATAAACGAGGACTTGAGTTATTTCTAAGTATAATTATTTACTTGCTCAATGAATAGTCAAAATTTTGTTTACCCAGCTCTATATATAACCTCGCAAAAAAAGCCAAAATAAAAAAAAAACTTACTTCAAAAGCAGTTAATGGCAGCTTTGACAGCCTAGTGAAACTCGTTTGGCATCTTAACACTGACGTAATAGTCATTTTTTATTTTGACTTTTCTCTTGCAATCAGTATCTATACACAATCTTTATCCTTAATCGTAAATTTACGGCGCCGCTGCAACTGCTGCAGACGCTTCCGCGTTTCAAAGAGTGTAAAAGAAAACAGAAAAAGAATTGTTGCGCGCACAACCGCGCAAGCGAGTGATACTCTGACTCTGATGATAATGCAGATCAAGAGAGAGAGAGCTGCAATACGTGCTGCTCGCTCGATCACCATGAATGCATTCAGTTTCAATAACAAATTATGGTGTAAGCGTAAAGTGTAAAATGGATAACTTTAGTTGGTGTTTTTATAAGTCAAAGATCGCAGTAACAATTGATACGAGCATAACTGTGTACCTATTATAATTAATTACGCTATTTAATCACGAAAAAATAGTCCAAGTGAGTATGAGTAATATTGGCTTTTTTTCATTAAATTTCCTGAATTTTCTTTAAAGATCATTCTTATTTTTACTTTGGTTGATTAATCTGCACTCGTTTATTTTTAGAAAAAATATATGAAAATAGGCATTATACATATTTGCGAGTACCAGAGTAAAATACACAATGTTTATCAAAGTGTTGCACTTAAGACATAAACTACTCAAAATACCAATGAAATTTTTAAGACAATGCAGCACCAATGTAAACAAAGCACCGGTTTCAGACAATAATCTTGATGAATTCAAAGACTGGAAAGAAAAGTTGCATTCTAACATGACTATATATGAGAACTTTATAAGTGATGAAGAGGAAAAATCGTTGCTGGATGAACTCGAGCCTTACTTAAAGAGAATGAGATATGAGTATTCCCATTGGGATAACATGATTCACGGTTATAGAGAAACCGAGTTTATCAAATGGAACGAAGAAAACACCAAAATTATAGACAAGGTAAGGCAAAAGGCTTTCCCTCCTGGTATGCCACAGTTAAAGTTTGTTCACGTGTTAGATCTAGCTGAAAATGGGTGGATAAAGCCTCATGTGGATAGTCCTAGATTTTGCGGAGAAGTGATAGCAACAATTTCATTACTCAGTGATTGTATAATGCGTCTGACATACGTTGGTCATGAAAACGAATATTGGAATGATTTTTTAATACCAAGAAAGTCTTTGTACGTCATGAAAGGAGTAGCTCGTCATAAATACAACCACGAAGTTATTAAATCCGTCAACAGATCGCGACGTATTTCGGTTATTTGCAGATGTGAGCCAGTGTAGATATTAATTTGTAAATCATTTTCTGTACGTATACGTATATACCTAAAAATAAATTTTACATTTATGATCGCGACTTAAGGGGACAAAAACAATATTTGTTTATAAAATTGTGTAAATATTATCCACAGTTGACTTGTAGAGAATTGAATTGAAAATAAATTTGAGCCATAAATTATTTTTCCGTAACTCTTTTAATAGCCTAAATTTGTACTTGGCGCTAAAATTTTTATAAAGCGCCACCTGTAATCTTAAGGCTGGATTTAGATTTTTAACCCTAATAACAGATAGAACATCAGAATAACCCATCAAGTACTGTGAACGTGTGAACGCAGCCTTAATTATAACTCGCACTTTTTTTTGTTGACTGATTTATTCCTACTTGATGTATGTCATTTTTTGCTTGAATTTTAATCGTCAAAAAGTAACATGTGACAAGCAAAACTGTATAATTACAAACAATTAATTATAATAGGCTAAATCAACAAAGTAAACCCAGGTAAGACATAGTATTTGATTGTAAACTTGTTTGTAGGTTAAGTTCTATGATAAATATACACTAAATATGGTTAATGACTATTTAGTGTTGTAAGTATACACTTACAGCAATTTATAAGAAAAAAAAAAAAAAATCTGTACGCACGTAAGTAAATACAAATAGAAAAGTAATATTAATCACGTTTTCTCAAGATCCCGCGAGATGTCGAGTTTGACAAGTTTTACAACTGCGCTGAAAACTTGGATTCCACAAGTAACATCAGTTCGATTCCGGTACTGGTCTGAAAAAAAACGGCTCGTTAGATTTCACGGATATGAAGAGAAAATCAACCTTAAAGGACCGTTGGCACACACCGGTGGTAACGAAGTCGTTAAACAAATGCCCGTTTATCGTCCAATTGATCCATGGTTGGAAAGAAAAGCATTGTTTGGTCAAAATGATTACATTGACATTTTAGGGACCGAAAATCTGCCTCTCACAAAAACGATGTACAATGTTCCAATGTGGTTGAGAGGTGTCAAGGGCAGAGGCAAAACAGGCAATGAGTTCAAAGTTTTATTAAGAAAACGAAAAATGCTTAAAAAAGGTATTTACCCTATTGCCAGGCCCACTAAGTGGAGAGAATTAAACAAAAGAATAATGTGGCTATGGAAGTTCTTAAACCAAAAGACTAGGGCGACCATGCCGCGTGATTAATTTTAGTGGTACAATTATAGTTGAACCTTACATGTTATGCTTTTCATTCTTTATAATAAATTCACGTAATTCTTTGAGTTCTCTTTTATTCAAATGGCAAGTGGACCTCATATGGTTAACCAGCAGGAAGCTCATGATGTTAGAAAAGTAATTTGTAACATATTCATAAAATAGTAAATTTATTAATTAAAAATCATGTCCTAACTAGCCATATAAGATATTTATCAATTGCAAAATTACATTAAATATTTGCCTCTCTCGCAACTTTATCCTTGCATAATTAATCTATTACAGCATTTAGCAAAGTCGATTGCCTTTTACAAACACTTTGAGTTTTTTTAATAATGTAAATAATCAGTCGTGTATAAACACAGGCACACAATTATCTGTAAATAAGTACAGTTAAAAATTATGACTAAAAAAAAAGTCCAAGTGTGAATCTAACATTGTTCATTTTTTCATGTAAATACAGATTATCCAAAGGAATTGCGAGTATTGTCCATTGTTATAAAATTTTTTTTTACAATTTATAATGATGGAACGATAATAGGGCCTACCTCCATCGTATGTAGACAATTTACAAACTGAAATAAAAACTTTTATTATCTTTAAACATGATTGACATTGAAGAGAAAACCTTGATTTTTATTGCAAAACCCTGTACGATTCTTAGCCAAAAATCTTGTTAAAATCGAAATAACAGAAAGTTGTAAAAACTTTCCTGTATTGCATTACTGCAGCAAAAATTACCGAAAATATTTCATACGTTCATTTCTGTTTGTAATACTGTTAAGTCTTTAAAGAAAATCTCGTCTTGATTAGAAGTCAACAATCGCCCATTTCAAAAATAGTATAGCGATAAAAACCGTAAGATTGAACCTTTCAGAGTTCATATTCTATGTACACAAAATTCCGGCAGTCTCATGCGTGTTGTCTTTAACAACGATTCTTTCTTCTTTTGTCGTCTAACGAAGTAAAGAATATCTATAAAATAGAAAACTACCGCAAATTTACAAGTGATTTTGTAGAAAAGATAGCATGGTTGTCTCATAGTGCTTGCTAGCATCCAAACTGCGGAGACTGTGTCTCTCATTTGGGTAGACTTGCAATTGATAGGGCTTACCAGTCTTTACAAGAGCATTAATCAGTTGACTCGTGTGATAAAAGTGTACATTTTCATCTATTAATCCATGAATAATGAGCAATCTATTTTCTTCGTCGGGAAATTTATTAACATACGTCAAAACGGAGCCATTGGTGTAACCGTGCATATTGTTTTGAGGCAAATCCATGTATCGTTCAGTGTAACCTGTGTCATAAAAGTACCAAGAAGTCACTGGGGCACCAGCAATCGATACCTGTAATTAAATGTTTGTTGATGAAAAAAATTATTTCACTCCATTTTACTTGTAGCAAACTTTTTTTTTTCAGCTTACTTTAAAAACATCAGGGTGATGAATTAGACCCATAAGACTTAAATAGCCACCGTAAGACCAGCCATGAATTGCAACGCGATTTAAATCTATGTAACCAGTTGTTTTTGCCAACCATTTCAAAACTTCGACTTGATCATCAAGCTCGACGGTGCCCATTCTCCGTTGTAAATGACTTTCGAACAAAAGTCCTCGGTGATTAGAGCCTCGTGAATCAATTAAAACCACACAATAGCCTTGGGCTGCCAGCATGTGCATTCGTAAATGTCGCATTCCCTGAAAATTGAAACTTGAAAAAATCAGAATCTCAAAGTTATAAAAAACTTGACTTTTTTTACCTTAAATGTATTTGATACCAATTGTACTTCTGGACCACCATACACATTCAAAATAGTCGGATATTTCGTACCAGGTTTGAAATTATGTGGTTTGAAAATCATTGAATATACTGTATCATTTGACGAAATTTTACAAGTAAAAATTTCTGGAGCAAAAAGATCAGATTCCGGCGTTGATGGTTCTAATAGATACCCAACAGGAGTAAGAGAAATACTTTCGACTGTCCAGTCTGATTGTGATATTCGGAATACCTAAAACGACATAATAAAAACATCACGAGCAAATATTAAGTCGGTCTGCCGATTGACTTAAAATCGCAAAATTCGACTTACCTGACAGGCAGGTAAAGATTTTGTCGAACTATAAACTGCTACCATCATTGTACACTCTTTATTAAAGTACACGTTGCTGTAACTGTAGCCAGGTCTTGTAAGTAATCTTATCTCTAGTGGACGGTGAAGAGATACTGCATAGACGTGCTGTTCAAGTGGACCTTCTTTTAATCCAATGAAGTAAACAATCGAATTTGTCTCGTCTACCCATAATTCTTTTCCAAGTACTTCCCAATCGCCCTGTGTCAAGGCCACTTTAGATGTATTACGCGGCTGTAAAAATACGCTGTCTGGTCGATCTGAAGATTCTTCCACTCCATTACCAAGACCTTAAACGTTGATTGATTGATTAAGTATTGAATACTAGAACTTTCATCATTTTTACATTTCAACATACCTGCTATACTAGACGTAATGAGATACAAATGTCTAAAGTTTGTTGCTTCACTTCCCCAAATAAATTTGACTTTTGTTGGGTCATCGGATGGCAGAAAGTAAAGCAAGTCGTTGACACTTATCCAAATAGAATTTGTTTCTGAATGAATCACTTGTACACTAGCCGATGATGGCGTGAAATGATTTTCTGAATTATATACATTAGGTGGTGGTTCACAAAAATTATCTATAGATAACAATACAAGTTCTATTCTCTGTTGCTTTCTGTCCAACAGTTGAACCCAAACACTAATAAAAAATAAGAGCCATCGTCAAAAGTGTATTAGAACTCTCTGAAACTTTGCAAAAATCGTGTAGTCACTTACTGTTGACCATCCCGCATCCATCCTGCTCTGACCATATATTCCATCCAAGGAAACATAATGTGCAATGGATACTGCAATTCAAGCGTTTCCACATCACTAATCTGCGATGATTCTGTCACTTTGAATTGCACTAGTTTTAAATTGCTTCTTGCATTGTTCGTTCCTGCTCTTGGAAATCTGAACTCATCAACATCATGTGAATTATCTGAAGATGGAAAACAAAATATCTTGACATCACTTTCATCCACTTCCTCGTAAACTATTCTATACACTCCATCAGAAGATTTGGGCTGCCACCAATAACCAATGTATCTAAAATAATCAAAAATTGACTTAATTAAGAGAATGTGATATGATAAAAAAAATGTCAAATGAAACTTATTTTTACCTCATGAATTCTTCTTGCATCACGTACGACGGGGTTCCTGCACTGAGAGGATCTTCGGCTAAACTCCTGCCCCCTTTCCTTGCATTTGTTAAACGTTTTGAAGATCCTGTTATACTGTGGGACAAGTATATATCTCCAGAGCAAGTATGAGCTACTAAGGCATGATTCCAAGGACAAATTTGGGGGCATAGTTTAGCGCCAGCAACAGACATTCTGAGCTCTGATGGGAACAATGGTCCAGGCTGCAATGAAAACAATAAAAAATGAAGAGACATTTTTTGATTTCGAGAAATGTGAAATGCAAATAAACGAACCATAAATCCAGTATCCACACATTGATAAAGGCTACTTGCAGCAGGAAATACTAATTTTCCGCTTTCTGCATGAATCTCGTAGCTTATGATGCCCCAAGTGGCTAGTCTTTTCCTTTCCCAAAGCAGTTGTTCCTCCTTGGTTAGCTGATTGGCACTGAAAATACTAAAACAGTCAGATACTCAGAAAAAAACAATTTGTCTCTAAAATATACTTTGTAACACCCACCTTTGAAAGTTAGCTTCTATTACAAGCTGCCACTGTAGTCTGTAACCATTTGGGTGATCGGAATGAGCAATATCAACGTATAGCAGGGTTGTTTCCCAACCATTGGGTGGTGTACTTAAAAAATAAACTCTTATCCTGCAAGAGACATAATAAATCATGTTTAATGTTCATTGAGATTTTTGCAAAGACTTGATGTCTGTCTATTACGATATTATGATATAGTGCGTTAATTCAATAGAAATCGTATACAGACACGTGAAATGGCAAGAGATGATTTTGGAAAGTATCAACAATATGTAACAGCAGCAGTAGCAGCCAACTAATGTCTATTTATAACCCTCGAGTTTTCACAATCACGGCGAATGTATTTTTAGGAATGACTTATTCATAAGAGTACCTTGTATTTTCAAAAGACCAAAAAGTTTAACCACGCAGTATATGACTGATTAGGCTGCAAAAAAAAAATTTCACCTTGAAATGAGACTGACCCAAGTATACATTACACTATGTTTGGAATCAAGTTGAAAGTTTTTATCCAATCAAATTTTAATAATTCAAAGATATTTTTAATAAGAGGGATTCTTGTCGTAATGAAAAAAATTCCATGCTATTTTACAAGTGAGCTATATAAGAAGAAAAAATTCGTTTTTTTCCTAAAACTTTGCAAATTTACGTCTTGCATAAGTGCATTTTGGGCTTAAAAAGTACATCGGATGAAACTTTCTTGAATTACAAACTTTTTTCCAGAGAGTAAGTAACGAAAAGATTTCAGATGTAAAAAAATGTTTTCTTGCCTGTTTCGAAAAAAAAATAATAATAAAAATCTTTAACACATTGTTTTCCGTGGAAATTGTAGTTATATGAAAAATCCACTTTTTTGATGTCATCCTAACGATCTGTCAAAGAAAATCATGTTACTTAATTATCCCATTTTTATTCTGCATTTCAGGAAAATGCAATAAATACAAAATTCTCACAATCCCAAACTCTTTTTGCATGGAATAAGAATTCGGAAAGTACTCAAGTAAGTATGTCGTAAGTAAAAACTTTTGGTACTCTGCCATGTAAGCGAAAGCATAGTTTTTTTTTTTTTTTTCATAAGTTAAGCCTCTTGTTGATTTCCACACAATCGAACGTGTGTCGCGTATCTATACTTAACAATGGCCAGCAGCTGGTAGCTAAACTGAGAACAAGTTGCTAGCCGGTACCTACAGTAAGATAAGCGTGCTGTTATACGAATACACGGAAAATACAAACCTGCCGTCAGGTAAAGTTCTGAAGGTGACGGATCCAGGCACCGAGCCCGCGGACATGCCGGAGAACCGCCTGCGTAGGTCACTGACGACACCCCGAAGCTCGTTCCAACTCTTACGACGAGTAGCGTCGTCGTCGTCGCTGCCGATGGTGACTAGTCGGGATTCACTCTCGGCCTCATCCTCGGCTTCCTGACCCAGTTCGAGTGGCTGTTCCATCGGCTCGAGTTCACTGGGCCCACTGAAATTGCTGCTACTCCAGGTCAGCTTTGGTTGTTGTTGCTGCTGCTGCTCGTCCATCGTGTATTTCACTGTTGCTGCTGCTGGGGATCATTCGTCGTCAGAGAAGGTTGGCGTACGACTTCTGGCATGCACATCATCAACCGCTGCGGGTTACGGGCATGTTCGGCAAGTCTCCGTCGAGAGAGTCCGATGGCAAGAGCTGACGATATACGTTACAACTTTACTCTGACTCAACTGATTGGTGATTGCCCTGACTCCGAAACTCCGAACCCCGAACGGCCCGAACGTCCGAACTGTATATATATACTTACAGTGTGTACGTATATGTTACAACTCGATAAGATAATGAACTTTTGGGTATGTTTACATGAGGTACAGCTTGTGTTTCTCCAGTGAAGTTACACAACATTTGGAATCTTGATTTTATTTTCACTTGAGCCTTTTGAACCCATGGAGGAAAAATAATTTATGCAATCTTATTTACTTAAGATTGGAAGACCCCGGCAAAGTTTAAATTTACTTTGGTTTTAAAAATCTCTAAAAAATATGTTAAACTCAGAAAAAAAATTATTCACCGACATTTTAGTAAGAAAGCATAGTTACAATGTACTGTGTTCTTAATATAATTTGTAAAATAACAATTTACAACTTTTATACATACTTATAAGACGATGGTCGGTAAGCTGGGTCACTCACACAATCTTACGGATGTCAACATTTAATGCCGACAAAAAGTTTTATCTTGCCTATTTTTTCTTTAATAATAGCAAATGCAATAATTCTATGACAATAAAATAATTTTTTTCATAGATTACACGATTATTTTGAAAAATTAATATTTAAACATAATTCAAACTTTGCCGGGTCCGTCCAATCTTGCATGTAAGTGCAGCCTTCATATGCAAAAATTAAGGACAAATTTTGAACCTTTAATATCAGAAAGAACAAAGCCCCACAACACATGTACTTAAATAATGATTTGAACCGACAATAATCAAATGAAAGAAAAAAAGTTTTAAGAAATCCTTAATTTCAATATTTCGATAATTTAGAAAAAATCTCGAGAAAAAGAAAAAAATTAACCACTGCTAAAAATAAAAATGGCAGTGACGCTTTCATCTCCTCAGTCGATTTTTTCTTCAGCAGCTTGTTCACGCCTGGTTTGCTTAAAATTTCGCGCTTATCTTATCGAAATCCAACTAAGGCATTTGTTCACCTTCCCTATATACATACATATTCTCTCGAGACACATTACGTGTACATACGATCGGCTCATATTTTAACCCACTTAACTCATTAGTGGCTGTGAACTAAGAATAAGGAAGGGGGGAGAGGGGTCAAGCAGTCCAAGCTCCACTGTTGAAACAATGGTTACAGCATCGACTGTGCATACAAATATATCAATATAAGCCCCAGATGATACAGAATATATATATTACAGTGTTTTCCAAGTACATCGAATTTTGTTTATATCAGCCTGACTTGCTGAAAAAAAATCGCCATCTATTTGGGCTCACGCATGAAAAAAAAAAAAACCTACTAATAACAAAGATAAACTTACCTAGATATTGAAAACTTGGTAGCAAAACTGGTACAAGTGGCTTTTATTAAGCGTATTTAATTTCGATAAGATAATACGCGTTTGTAACTGAATTTCGTAGAAAACGTTAGTTATCTTTATTATCTGAGACGCAAAGTCTTCCAAAAAATATACATATAATAATGATAATAATACTTGAAATAAAACAAAAATGTCTGTGTCTAATACCGTTTGTTACGATAAAAATATTATTTTCAATATTCAAAATAAATTCCTACCAAATATGACCAAATATGACCAAATTTACAAGTCGCAAAATACTTACGCAGATTTTTTTTCATTACACATTTGTGTTGCAAAATGTCATCTATAAAATAGCTTTTTTTTTTTTTTTTGTTTCTTCTTGTTCGGTAAAAGCATTTGATTTTTCATAGAGAACATCGAAAAATTCTGCTTTTCGTAATGCCTCAAGTAAGTCTAGACATTTTTAAGAAACTTTCCCCTCATATTTTCCCAAATATTTCATTTAAATATATATATTATCTGTCAATTTATAGGTAATTGGAAATAAGTCATTTGAAAACATCTCAATTAAAGCTCACCCGTAAAAATTCACAATAAAATAGTTAATGAAAAGCAAATCGGTTTAAACCATCATTTTTTAATGATTATTATCGAAAAAATCGTTCACAACGAAAAAGTGTACAGTATTTTGTAAGTACGATTGCAATACATTAATTATTCGTATAGGTGTCTATCTTGAAAAAAATCATCAAGCAAAAAAATATAATTATGGAACAAAATTAAATGTTCTCGATTAAACTTTGAAGTCAGTCTACATATATCAACAATTCCGATGGTAATTAAGTATAATTATAACAGTATCAGTTTTGAATACCATGTGGTTACTTTTCCAAATCTTAAGGGTTTCATTTCATTTCATTGCAATCAAAAACGCCCATGACTAGGTAGTAAGTCAGTACCATTGAAAATAATAAACTGGTATGATAATCGTGAAAATTTTTTAGTTGCGTGAATTCGATCCCGCCCGGAGCTTTGACAGTAGAAATACAAGCGACCGTGCAAAAAATTCTGTCCGCATAACCGCTATCACTATCCGCTTATTAACGCAAAAATCCATGTCCCAGATGAAAAATTTTAAACGATCACGTAGAGCTGTCAAGCTATTAAGTTGCAGCATGTAAATATTTCACATTTTTTTCAAGGAATATTACAAAGCTTGAAAATAAGGAATGTTATTTATTTAATAAATTAAAGTGTGTAAGTATCAATTAATTGGATAGTTATAAAAAATATATAAACCTTGTACAGGCAAACTCTTTCCTTCCCATGACATTGGTATTCATCCATCCTAATCTTTCTTTCGTGTCAACCCAAAAGTTGTACGACGAGGACAGGATGCTTTAGTATTTATTCCATTTGCAAGTTAAAAATACATGTTTAGCGAGCGTGTTCGGCAAATTTTGAATTTTAAATGGTAAAACAGAGCACGCGTCTGATCAACACAGTTGTATCTCGAACCCGAGCCGATTGCTAAATCGGCATTATATGCAGCTGACAATTTAAATTCGAATCTTTGGCTATATACATACTTATAGCATGCTTTATTGAAAAAAAATAAAAAAAAAACTGCAAGTAGAATTTGTTGGATAGGTATATCACACGCACGAACTTGGCACCAAGTGAAAGTGCGATCAAACATATGCTAGTGCTGTTTCTTGGATAAACGTGCAAGACTTTTCAAAGGCCAAGATCATTTAATCAGGTCAGTTGCCTGGCATTAAAATTTGTAAAAGTTTACCAGAAAATAATGGCCCCAACGGAGAACTCCTGCCTGAAACCCCAAAAGTACAGTTTTTGGGATTACTTTGACTGGAACATTAAATTCAGGAAAATGATGATGAAAAAACGTGAGGTTAGCGTGTCCATAATCTTTAAATTTTTCGACCAAGTTTTGTTTTTCAACAAATCTCAATGACACATCGCAACACCAATAATTTTATAATTCACCAGTGTCCTGGTGTAACAATGAGTACCATTTACAAGTACATCAGCGGTGGCAAGTGAACAATAATTTAACCACGTTTAGGGTGTAGATAAATTCATGTACAGTTTACAGACAGGCGCGAACAACAAAAGTATTACTTTCATGAAATTCATCATTCATCATCGCGACTGTCAGGCCAAAACACTTTTCCAGAGCGCTTCAGCCCAGCTTCCAGTTGAAAACAGTTCACCCTGCATGCGCAGCAGCAGAGTAACCCCCCCCCCTGTAATTTTGGGCAAAAAGTTTTACCAAGTCAGCCGTACAGCAGCAGCAGCAGTAGTAGTAGGGCTAAAATATTTATCGAGCAAAAGCTGCGGTCTGCATTATGCAGTCGTATGTGTGCAGACCCCCGTGGGGGTACGTCGTCCTCATCCTCTTCCGCCCCTGGAATTATATGGCTGTTGCAGGCATCGTATAGGAGAAAAGAAAAAAATACGGACGAGGAGCGCATGATTTTTAATCTTTCATGCGGAAACATCAGACGCCCTCACCTACTAGCACTCTCTCGTTTCATTTTATTTTCTTCGTTCCATTCTCGCGCTCGATGTCTACGTATAGTATACATGAGCGCAATGGCCAAGTAAGACGTGCTTTTTTTTTCCACGCTCTCAACTTGCGCTTTTTCTCTGTATTTTAATTTTAAGATTTTTTTTAGACTATACAATCCATGGAAATGTATTACAGATGATGTCACAAAACGTTATATCTATCAAAGCGTGATTTTGGTTTAGACAAACAATAAGTATAGTTTTTTCATTTTTGATAAAAAATGTACTTTGGGAAATTTCAAGGGAAGAAGAATATATTATTCACATTGTCTAAAAAATATTTTTATTGTATAAAAAAATTTTTCTCTTTGCATTATATTTACATATGTGTAAATAATGTTTCTTAAACTAATTTTTTTTTTTTTTTTTTTCCATCACGATTCAGTATGTATTGAACATACATAAAATTCGAAATAACGCGTAAAGTTTGTACAAAAACTTTTTTTTTTATCTGTAACTAGTAAACATTAACAATAAAAAATGGTGGAACCCAACTTTTTTTTTAAATCTCGCAATTCCATACCGCTAAAGAGATAGTGTAAGCAGTCTTTTGATTTATTTAATCACTTACTTTCAAGGATTGTATAGGAAAATGTTAGTTCTAAAAATTTACGTGTTGAATTTCATTAATGTATTACTTCCTAATTAAAAAATTTTCTATTGACTGAAAAATTAATAAATAAAAAAAACTCATCTACATTATAATTTGAGCTATTGATCATATCACCAAAACTAAGAATAATAATAACAATACTAAACATAAAAAAATTTGATTGTACGGAATTTGTAAACTCTAAACTATTAGAAAAAATGGTTAATAAATTGGCTTGAAATGTTATAGCTAATTTTTTAATTAAAAGTTCTAAAGATAAAACTAATACAAATTAAACTTACTTTTCATACCTACCTTGATGACCATACAATATTTTACAGCTGGTACTGAATGGGATTCTAAGTTCATTGAATCGTGCAGTATTTGCTCAAATAAAGTCTTGTAAAAAATTTATAAAAAATAACAAAGTAAATTTATCAGTTATCAAAAGCTTTTACGCAATTACGGAATATTAAATGA